CAGCACGTTCTTCCTTTGCGATGTGCATTAAGTAATTTTAGTAGAGACACTTGTTCTCGATACCAATCCGTAAGCAGATTCACCGTATTATCCTAGGTTTTCGAAGAAATCGAATTTTCGTAAAAGTTACTGCTATTTATCAAAACCGAAGATTCACGAGAAGATCATATACAATAAAAAGCTCTAATTGGTTTCAAATGACAGATGAGAGATCCCTCGGTAGACCAGTATCTATGATTACAATATTTCGAAGCTTTAAATGATTATAAATGGCCGTTGAACGTCATAAAAGCACAGCTGTACGTAGTAGCTCCAGCGTACTATATCTTTACATTTTTATTTATTTATTTACCCGGCACACGTTTCGTATACAGTATCGGATTTTATAGTCATTACTATAACGACCAAGTTCTCACCCTCGCCAACAGATAGATTCCTACTTGAAGGAGGTTCGAGGACTTTCTCGCAAGTCCTCTTTGAAGCCTCGATCCTATGCCACCTAAGTATCCCCCGGTCTAAGACAGGGCCTGCTAGAAGGAACACGCATGCTAATATAGGATAGTTCTTAAGTCTATATTATCCTATAGCGATAAGCGCGTTAGATTAAGTTTGATTTTAAATCGCCAGTGTTTCACGCTGGAGCCATCGGTCTTACAGTCTAAGTTTTCATTTGTAACTCTTTTGTACGTTTTGGTTCTTTTATATGTATATTATTGTATTTAGTTTCTGGCACATTAAACGTTTGTTAAATTGGAAAAATTGGAATTGGCCTGCTAGAAGAAAGACTTACTGATGAGTCCACTAGCAGGCCCGCGACGAAACGCATCCCTTCTTTTTCCTGTTGTCCTTCTACCTGCTACTCTATCAATAGCAACGACGTCCACGGGGATGACACCAGGCCCAGTACCATAGGACACCAGACCCAGTACCATAGGACACCAGGCCCAGTACCATAGGACACCAGGCCCAGTACCATAGGACACCAGCCCATCATAGGAACCGCAACAGATTAGACCGAAGCAACGGAGTCCTCAACATAAAAACATCCGATACCCCGTTGGGGGATCCCTCAATTACTAATCGTGGAGCAGATACGTGTGCAATCCATGCTGATTATCTTTGGACACTGATGAGCGATGAAAAGAACGTAATAAGTAAAAGGCATTCGAAACGAAAACACTTTTATATTGACTTGTTGCAGACAATTTCTTACTTCGCTTATACATATGTAATTTCCCCTGCCAAAATTAAAAGAAAGTAATACGGTTCTTGGTAAGTAATACGGTTCTTGGTAAGTAATAATTCCTCGACTACTATACAAGAATATAAATTCATATATTTCGCAATATAAATTAAGCGTGAAGTAAATGAAAATTAAATAAAATAATTATAGAGTTAGTGTATCTTATTAATGCAATTACATGTCCATACAACTATGTGTATATTCATTAAAAGTAAGAATTAATTTGCAAGGAGGTATAAGACTTGTATCAAAATAATAGAAATACTCCAAAAACAACTTAAAATACAGAAATGCATCTAGTGTTAATAATTCAATAACCACATAAAAGAAAATGTAATTTGTCGAGTATTTTTTTACGATAAGTGAAATTTTCACTTTAGTGTCTTTACCCTAATTCAACTTATTTCTTTTCATGCTTTTTCTATTTTTTTCTCGAAAATATTTCGTCATCGATAAGAAATGTATATCGGGATAGCTTGAAATAGTAATGTCTTTTGGCTTTTTTATTTCCACAAAAAATAAAATTTGAAAAAAAGAACCGTGTTGAAGTATGTTATAGAGAACGGAATTTTGCAAATATCTCAAAATCTGAAAGCCAGCGAGAATTATTGTTCAAATAAAAGATGTTCCGTTTTGTTCATTACGACATACTTCGGAATCATTAGAATCGAATCACGAATATTGTTTTTCACAAGTATATTTTTTTATGCATAAATATACATTTCTATTTCAAGCTCCTCTTTCCCATATGTGTCTTATGGATGCTAACAAACTGAACAAAAAAAAATAAATAAAAATAATTTGATTAGGGCAAAGTCACGAAAATAAACTTTTCCGATTGGACATATAAATATAATGTGAAATACATTATACATAATATGGTAAATATCTATTTATATTGATAATAATCTGTAAGTTTGTAATGGTAAAAATAGTGCCTCAAATTAGAAACTAATACTAGACGTATTAACTTTGCTCTGTGAAAATACGTTAACATGGAAAAAGATGGTTATACGTAGTGTCGTGCATCTGAGCAACCGTATATACAATATGTGTAAGAGTATTCGGCAATTCAATATTGTTAGTGTCTGAAATATGTTTCGTTTGATTTCACTTTGATTACGATTCGAAAATATCGAATTGTCCAGTAACGTTGGACAAGTGCTTGAGCACTCTTATGTTGCATAGCTGTATTCGAATTTACCCAACTACGCCCGACAACGTCAGAATCTACTAGGCTTTAGCATAATCTAATCAGAGTACGAAATTTCGAATGGTTGCTTGTTTCCAAGTTATTTGTCTGTTCATGTGCTTTGGCTAATAATATTACGAAATAAACATCGACTAAAAAGCAACTGTACACAAATTTATAATTTTTTACTGTATATTAATGGAATAATACGATTAAATACGAATACTTGTTTAATAGAACTATTTGAGGTACTAAACTAATTGAGAACGAAATATTATATTTCTTATAGTTACAACATGAAACGTAAGCTTAGTAAAATTTATTTAGTTTATTTGAGAAATAAAATATGGAATAAAATATGAAAAAAATTTGTTGACTATTTTATCAGTCATAATAATTGATGGAATAGAAGGATGCATTTAGACTACTCCAACAATATCGAATACTGTCCGTATTTCCTGAAAGAAAGCATTAATATATTAATCATCTAAATAATAAATATGTATTACTTTGTACAAATAAATTAACATTTAAATGGCGGTGGAAAAATAGAGATACAGTTCCAACTAAACAGGTAAGTTTTTCGACAGGACCCATTTTTTACATCTTCTTTGATAGATAAAACGATTGATTTAACACTAGGTTTACGGACGCTGTATACCTATTTCTAAGGACACCTGTCAAATTGACAGGTTAAGGAATCCACGTGCCTCTTTTTTAACGATTAGTTTAATTTAAAAACAATTATATATTATATTAACAGTCTTAATATAAGTTAACTAAATCCTCATTTAGTTCTCTACGATTCCTGGTCAAGAGACAAGGATTATGGACAGCAATACTTAGGACTAGACTCACGTGCGACTGACCCGTCAGAAAGCTAACCCGACATTCACATAAAGATTTTAGATAAGTAATATTTGAGTACATTAACGATACCAATCCTGAAATTGCTTAAAATTTATCAAAACGATATAATTTTTTAGTTATATCGCATTGTATACTGCTAGTCACCGATGATACGCGGTCTGAACGGAAAGTTCAGTGTTAGTCACCGGTGAGTGACGTGGTAGCTAACGTGTTAAATAACTGTAGATAACAATAATAAAGGACAAGATTTTGAATAACGTTTATCTGAGTAATAATTGCCAATCTACATTACTTCTTGTGGCCACTAAGAGAGGTCCGGAACGTTGGATGGCCAGTCACAAATCGTGCAGGGATACGTGTCGCGGATCACGGTTCTAGAAAAATCAGAAGCATGGAGAACACGGATAGACAAAAGACGATCGGTCTTAACCGCGCGAGCTTCCGATCGCCAGGGCTATCATTCTTCCGAAACTTCTCGAAATATTTGTAACAATTTTTAGTACTACCACATTCACACTCTGCCCATACAAGTACTGTACTCGCGTTATACTCGGCATATCAACCGTTCAACGAGCAAACGCAAAATGTTCAAGAACGAATTTTCAGAGTTCAAACTTCTCCTTTCGTAATGTGTAGAGGTTAGAACATTGTGCTTCACACGATCTGTCCACGTGTCGTTCACGTGCACTTGTTTCTATTTTCTACCCGTCCTCGCTGAACGTTAGATAGCATTTCTAAACATAAACACGCGGAAACGAGCAGATATAACGCGTGTTAACCCTTTCACTACGGCAGATGTCGCCGCGAAATCTCTCCCGTAGAACGAAGCGTCGTGCCAATGATGGAAATATCACGACTGTGCACAGTCCTTAGCATTCGGGGTCCAGTCTTCTGAAGGAAAAAAAAGAAAAGGAAGAACCGACTATCTCGATAGAGTTTGCAATTCTTTGTGAAATGGTTAGAAGAAACTATTACGAGTCGAGAGTCAATTATTCCTGTTCATTCGTCACAAACACTAGATGAGCGACGAACCCAGGGCCCATAAAGACACAACGCGTTCACGATGCATTTACAAGGGAAGCTCATTATAATAGTTACAACATTATTACAAACATCTCGAATCCTATGATCGAGTGGCAATTATTCTTCGAATAAATGTTGAATTTCGTAACTTTTTCTTTTCAAGTTGCTCCGATCTACATCTCTTATTCATGCCAAAAATGCGTGAGTTATCAAGAATTTTAGTAACACTAAATTCTATTATTTGTTTAAGTCGTAAAATTAGCATCGATAATTGTTAGCATAGTATTAAAACAAATATATATAATATGTAATAGTAATTAAATTCTTCTGCACTTTCTCTCACAAATCTGTCTTCCATGAAAACGACATTGAGAATATATTCTTATCGGAAGGAGTTAAGAAACAAAGAAACCATTTCTAAGGTATGTTAGAAATAAACGTATAAACAAATCGAGAAATAATCAAACATATTAAAAATAGAAATAGAAATGAAGAGACACTACCTACAATGTTTTTAATAAAACTTGCTTCATATAGCTTGAAAGTTAGAAAATATACAGACATTCGCAAATCATTTTCATCAACTATTGCCGATAAGTATGTTTTGTCAATATATGTATCGAATGAATATAAAATAAGAAAATTTCACGCAAGAAGATTGAGGATACTTACAGGCTCCTCTATTCCCCGATACGCATCAGATATGGCATATTTAATCACCTCTGCTTCTATACACGGCTCGCTTATGTGATTATTAATTATTTTCAATAATTCCCACAAGTACTCAACATTAGTTGGATTTTCTTGCAGATGTTTTCTTACTTCCTCAGGTATATCTAGTTTCTTCTTAATCTTGGAATCAAAATCATATTTCAAACAGCAAACCTCGCATTCGCAAGCCCTACCTGTACGTTGTTTCCATAGCACATCTCGTTCCAAAAATCCTTTGTAACAAGATCTTGTAGTTAAGAAATTGAAGGTTATCTAGAAAACAACTCGTTAAGATGACACTGAATTTTAAGGGTTTATTAGCAATAAAATTAAAATTAAAAGGGTTTATTACGTTTTCATCTTGTTTTATATCTTTAGCTGCACGCAGAACAATCACGTTATCTTTTTCTATCGTATGTACAGTGTTCGCACAACAAGAATGAGTGGTGAAACTAAGCAGCCTGAATATATTTTCTGCCATAATATGTTCACGCTTGATACATGATATATCATCCTATAGAAAGTATTGGAATAACTTGTAGCTTACAATATAAATACTTATCGATTATATCTTCATTTGCAGGTTGATCTAGTTAACTCGATTTACTAATATCGAATATTTTCGAAATTGTTGCTGGTTTAACACCTTGACATATAATGACGTCTGGGAGACGTCATTCATTTCAGGTGCCATTGTAGACTTTAACGTCTCCGAGACATCAAGAAATATCTTCGGCGAACACCGCGCAGTATATTATTAGATTCTTTAACTGTTTCAGTCGTGCGTCCATGCTATTTTGTTTAAAATGCTTTTCCCCTATCCACAGCACCGATAAACAAAATCGCATCGACAAACCAGTAAACAAAGCACAATGTAAACGGTAGTCAGTATAGCACATAACTATGTTATGTGGGGATGTTTAGCTTTTAAGTTGGTATGAATGAGAGGTGATGCGTGGTGACGCGTGAATGTGGATGGATGGTAAAACTGGAAAACAAAAGATGCGCGAAGAACAAGTGAGTGTGTGTCCGACCGTGTGGTGCGTGAATGTCCCTTTGCCGCGTGAGAATGTGCGATGAATAATAATCTAGAAATGTAGAGAGAATCCTTGTAATAATTAATATTATTAATAAATAGTTTGATAAGTGACACCGTCAAGTTTTCATTATCCACCACATGTTATTTTATAGTATTATAATAAATCACATTATAGTCACATTATAATAAATACATGTTAAATATTCGCGAGGTGTGCGTTCTCTTGTAAGATATAATCGAGTACGGAATGAGACTCTCATTACAATGAGAATAGAATTTAGATGAAGACAAGGAACAAATTTTATCAAGAAATTACTATTATTATCGACTTTTATTATTTATGAGTGATTAATATAAGAAACTGGAATAATAATTCAAATAGCACAGCGATATCCTTTAGACGTGAAGAAAGTAAGGATCACAAACAAGTGCATGCTTAGTTTACGAATCCCTAACATTAAACTATTAGAAAACTAGCTTGATCTGAAAAAAATTGTTTACCACCTTACCCATGTACAGTCAACTTGTATCGTCATTTCTTGTGTATCTATCTACTTCGTCATACCCATTCAATTACTATTATTCGTGTATAATATATTTCTACTAGTATATTGCAAATCGATAATTTTAACGAAATTTACTTACATCGGACTATGTGAAATACCTTTTAGTATTAACAAAAATCGTCTCGAAGATATTCGAGCAAATCGAGTTAGATGGATCCATTGAATAGTTACATAGTCACAAAAATCACGGAATCACAAAGTTGCGGAGATTCAAAAAAGAAAAATAGTATTTTAAAAGATGTACTTGAAAATGATATGTATCTGCGATATAGGATGCCCTGCAGATCAGATTCACAAGACCCAAAACGTCCACCAAATTGTCTTGTATATAATTGGGAATTTGTTTTCGCAATAACATAGCTAATGCCACCGAAATACGATGTTTCCGCATAGGGTATGCCATGACATTTTCCATTGAAGTACTCAAATCAAGAATTGACATGAAATTGTCCACTATCAATTTTTCCATATTCCAAAGTTCCCTTGTTGACGCTGTAAAAAACGGTATTAATATTTAAAATATATGTGCATATGTTACATACATTCACACGATACTCACAATCTTTCATCTCATTCTTGCATTCGATATTTTATACATCTATGTTATAGATATATTATGCGTTAGGAATATAGGAATAAATATTCGGCAAAACTATGAAGTAAATCAATTGAATTTTACACAAGGTAGTAATAATCACAGGGTGCTATTAATCTTCTACGTATAGGAGGTTGCAAATGTGAAGGTTACGGTATATCAAATATATAGTAATAAACAAAATTCTTATATCACATTATTCGCAGTATTTCTCCGCGGAAAGTTAAACGGTATTTAATAAAAAGAAGCAAAAAGAGGAGACCATAGTTACTCATCGAGAATAAACGTGCGTCTAATCAATGTAATTTGTACAAAACGATCAATCCTTTTTACGTAAAATCGACTTCTATTATTTAGCAATGGTCGATATTCCGATAAATATTCCTTCTGCATTTCGTTTTCCATGACATGCATTTCCTATTTATTGTCATAATTCAACAATATCGAATGTTCGTAAATAATAAAAGTAGGTAAATATGCAATTTAGTGGCTTTGCCCTAAAAGAATCTATTTTCCCGGTTTTTTCACAAAAGGCTTTATTTGTGCCTCACTAAAAAATATAGATCGGGGGAGCTTGAAAAAGTAATGTGCTTTTACTAGTTTTTTCACAAAAAACAAAATTGTTAATAACCTATAGAATGCGTGGATAGATCCCTATGATTTTTGAACACGTTATAGAGGACGAGATTCTGAACTTTTATCTGAACAATAATTGCCACTTGACCTTAATTTCCGCGATAATTGCAAAAATTGTTCACACTACCCCATTGACACCGCCTATAATACCTGTGTCGTGGACCTGTCGGATCGGTTTCAAAAGATCGCTTATTGTTTCCTTCTATAAACAAACCCTGACGAGCGTATATAACGTATGATCAGTATGCTGCTTGACGCCTAGGAAGCTATGTTCATTTCCTACACTCATTCTCAAACTCGCGGACCCTTACACCATACCATCCCAACCATCACCCGATCTAATACTTAATAAAGACTTAATGAAGTTTCGATTTTTGGATTTCCGTTTATATGGCCGGCCACCTGACGGCAGCCGTGGTATAAGTCTAACCTAAACCTACCCCAATTACTTCAGTAAGCCAACCCTACCTTACTATTAATCAGTAAATTAAGTAATATATTAGAGTTAGGTTAGACTGTGTTGTCATCGAAGAGCGGAAGGCCGCTTGCGGCTCGAAGCGAATGCGACACGACACCACACCAACATGGTTGACATGTGAAAAAAATCTAAATTGACATATTATTGAAATTAATTAAATTTAATCTTTTTGTCCACACGTTATATACGCTAGCCTGCCAGTTCTGTTTCGGTTGCTTGCCGGGGTTTGTTTAAAGAAAGAGACGATAAGCGATCCTTTGAAACCGATTCACGACACAGGCACAGGCGGAGTCAATGCGGTAGTGCGAACAATTTTTGATAATATCTTGGAAATTAAGGCATGGTGGCAATTATTGTTCAGATAAAAGTTGTTCAGAATCTCGTCCTCTATAACATGTTCAAAAATCATAGAGATCAACTCACGCATTCTGTAGTTTTTAACAATTTTATGTTTTTTGTCAAAAAATTAATGAAAGCACATTACTTTTTCAAGCTCCCCCGATCTATATTTCTTATTGAGGCACAAATAAAACCTTTTTTGAAGAAACCGAAAAAAAGACGCTTTTAAGGCAAAGCCGCTTAACTGCATATTTGGCTAAAAGTGGATCTTATATACAAAGAATTGATCGAAGACTTTATGTTGATTACATATTTTCCGTTTCTCTCTATGACTATTGTATGTTCTTCGAATCTTGGACTTTACTTTTTCAACATCTTGTCCACTGCGCGGAAAACTATACGTCGTTTTGTATGAATTCTCAACTCTGTATTGTACTTTGAATTTCATAAAATTAACTAAATAATGTCAGGTAATAAAATGTTAATAAATATTAATATCGCTATTACTTTCACTGATATTTTTCAATTCCTCGCAATATTTGACTGCATTTTTTACGTAACAGGCATTCTTCGTCAGCTTTACAAGCAGTTTAATTGCACATTGGTCGATGACAGAAAGATCATGAAGTCCACATTCGAATTGATGATACTCGTTAAAAGCTTCCTTGCGACACTCTTCGGAGCAATATGTAAGGAGGGGACAGTATTCGCATGGAATCAATGCTTCACAGTATTTGGTACAATGGTGACAGGCGTTGCGAGATTTATGTGTCACGAGTTGCGACACTAGTGCCTTCTCGATTAAAATAACATCCCCAGTCAAAATACTTGTCACTGCTTTGAAGAAATGTCGCCCAGTGTTTGGATCATAATCTAGTCGAATCTCCTTGTGCAATTTAGGAGAACGTTCGTGTAAGGCTTGTGAGACTTTTTCGCCCGCTGTACAAGCGTTTCCGAAAAGAGTCATTAACTCCGTTTTCATCGTCTTCAAGTCCATTGAATGGAACGAAGAAGTATCTATTTTCATAGCTCTCTCAATATCCATTATACCGTGCTCGTACGATTCCAAGTTTTTCAAGGCTGTAGCTCGCGTTACGTATAATTTTTTGCATACTGAGCTGAATGGAAAGGCGTATTGTAAACCTTTTGTACACGCCAGAATAGTTCTCTGGCAATAATGTCTCGATAAGCTAAATTCTGCTATAGCGTGCAAAATGGAACAAAATAATTATTAGTGAAAATAACGATTGTGATAACAACGACATTAAAGTATTTCTCGTCGTCTAATTTAAATGCGTATAGAATTTCTGTAAATAGACACTGGTAAGAGAGTGAGAATTCCTTAACTACAAATTAAAATATCTAAAAAATCGATAATTTTAAGATATAAATGGATTAATCTTTTCGTGCGAAATATCGGTTGCATCGATTAGCGCGTTGAATAATATATGGTTAAGGGGCATCGATTACATGTATATTAAACGATCTGTTTGCATGTACATGGAGTATATTTACCCTGAAAAAGCTAATTGTAACCGATTAAAAAAATAGCTTACGTCTCTTAAAGTCATCGATAATTCGATAATGTTGAATAAAGATCAGAATTTTCGATTTCTCTAATCTCCTTTGTCTGTTATAGAACTACGAAAACAAATATGGGTGATTCAATGGAAAGTGTGATTTAAAGTATCTCCTATTGATTTTATCAAAATACCCCCGATATATACAAAAACACTAATATTATTGGGTAAATTAGACTTAATCCTTTCTACTCTTCGAGTTGCATCTTTTCTGAGACAGTAAAATCTTCGAATCTCAAGGGTTAATCCTTCCTGAAAATTGTAGCATTGGCTGCGGCACTTATGCCTATTGATGGCATGACGATCGATCGAATAAAACTTATTTATTTCTTTAATAAAATTTATTGAATTTTAACCCTTTGCACTCGACGATTTTTTGGTTAGAGAAGAGTAAAAATTCAAAGATTCTGTACTAAAAAACTGACGATACTTTTTTGAGCAGCAAATAAAGAATTGTAGAATTATTTGACTTCGATACTTTACACACTGTTACATTACATTATATTTGATATATTAATTAATATCGATCTTCCAAATTTTATAAAATGGTGACTGAAGGTCACCTGTCGAGTGCAAAGGGTTAATAAAATGTCACAGAAATATTTAGTTACTTAACCCTTTAACAAATATAACAAACTTTAAGCGCTCAATAATAATGCAAAATCCTTATCTCAAAGTTACTAATTTATGAAATGGCACGTGTAATAAAGAAATGACGTAACACAGATATCTTTATATGTTAAGGAATTATAAAGAAAAATTTGTGATACGATTAATGATATCCTCTATTTAACTACTAATCTCTTTGATTATCTGTACGTCGTTAAAAACTAAAGTACCTAAATATTGAATGTGCAAAAAAGATTGAGACGTTCATGATGCCTTTTTTTTTTTATCTTGGGCACACGTAATATCTATTTTAATTTTATAATAAACGTTGATTCTTATTTCACTTCACTTTTAGGAAAAGACGTGCCTTTTTTGTATTCACGGACATCTCTAAAGGTTATAAAGTTATACATGAATGAATTCGCGTTATTGCCAGCCACTATATTACATTAACAAAAATATGCAATTCCGTTTAACAAATCATTAACGATTCTTATTCTTACATTCATCCCATGGAACTATGCAACTTTTTCACGATACGTCCTTCTTTGTATCGTCAGAAACAACAAAGATATATTACACTCTGTATAGTTATGTAAAATAAACCTTCATATTGCATGTAACATTAACTTCCTCATATTTTCTTCGTTTTGTGCCAATATACGATAAAATCATATTGCGATGCATTTGTACTACGGTACTTTTAAACACATCTTTCATTTATTTTCTTTTTTTGTCGATGTATAAAAATAAAAAAAGAAACAAAACAAAAACAAAGGAAAGTCATACATGAGAGTATAAAAAAATAACGTATAAATATTTTAAAATACTGACCGTCTTCGAGGCACTTCTTTGCAACTTTATTACTTTTTTCTCGATCTTCTGTGGCCATCTTAAAAACCACCGATTTTCATTCAACGAAGATCAATCTATAAGACGCTTCTGATAACTGTAAGATTCTTCGTGGCACTGTTTCAAACTATTCAAAATGACGAACCAAAAGACTACAATTACACACTTCCGCACTCACTGTTCTCTTACATTGACCAAGTTCCACCGAAGACTAATCCTCTTTTCGGTCTCGCGGCGACACTTTATTAGCTACCCCCTCTTCTGCATGGCATTGTCGCTACAGAGATACGAATGGGATCGGCAAAGCTGGCAACAAGACGATCGTCTTTTGTTTTGGCGTCCTGTTTGCCAGCGGTGTCGTGTTCTTAGTCAGTTGCCGCCAGGAAGTCAAGCAGCTAATTTTGCGATATAATTAAAGTTATACTTATCTGGATTCGTTTTCACTGCAGAAACCCTTTTTTACTACCAGTTCAACAAATGAATAATAATATCTTTGTGATGATATGGTAAAATGTATAAAAATTTAATGTAACGTAACTGACAGATTTGTGTCCAATGGTATTTTTCCTTGTCTTCTTATAATGTAGTCTATTTCACTCCTTATCTTCTTTCAGCAAAAATTGGATTATGTAAACGATAATGCGTATTTGCTTTTCGAACAATAATTCCGCCTCTTTTGTTACTACATTTAAAATTGTTTTGCCATCAAGAAATGTTCATATTAATGCAAGACGTATTTTTATCATTATTGAATATGCGTTTAACGAGTGTTATATGTATACGTATTATACATGAGACACGTAAAGCAGATCACCTGTATTTCATGCCTAGGTCCGAATGTCCCGAATGAAATGGAGGATTGGTTTACATATTTCGTTATTCTTCTGGGTCTCTCAGCCATCTCTTTCAAGTGGACCTTATGGTTGTCACGGGACAGTTACCGCGGTGACTCTAAGAAACGGTGTTTGGATAACTCTCGTGTAAAAATGTGGCGATTGGTACTATCTCGGATATCCACGTATAATTACGGCTAATACAATGACGAAGGAGTTTCACAGCAGTACAACACTAGAGAGTAAAACTGTTCAAAATGCGCTTTATTCAAGTTTTGGTTCGGATAGATGATGTTTAGGTTATAAGATCACCGCTTGGGACTGTACCGTTTGTGTGGGTACGACTGTAGAGTGCATGGGAACGTTGGGCTGTTCCTCGAAAATAGAGGATAATGAACAGTGATCTCAGGTTTGGTTCGAGCGTATAGCGTGTTATCTGGAGTGCGTGCGGGAAGACGAGTGACTAATTCCAAGGATCGCACGAACGGGATCTTTATGGCAGTATCGAATGCAAGTGAAAAGTGAAATGCCTCTGAATGTTTAGGGTATGTGACCTATCGAGTGCATACCTATTCTCTCTTTCCCAATCACACTTTCCCACGCACTCCTTGCAATTTTACCCTCAGCGGGTCACGTAGCCCAAACACTCAAACGCATTCCTAAAGACACTCTTCATTTTCATCCGATACATTCATAAACATCCCGTCCACACGATCCTAGCGCACGATCATTCGTCCTTTCGCACGCACTCTAGATAACATGCTCGACCCACTCATTCTGCGATACCACACTATATTTTATAAAACTGGGCGTTCATAGCGCGCAATGGTTAAGGGTGTAGGGACGCCGAAGGAAACAGTTTTTTAGTGATAGCGAGTCAGAGTCAGTGTGAGAGTTATTAGCGCTTAGAATAAGTTTAGAATTAGTTCAAAATAAATTATTTTTATATATTATTTACCACCGTTATTTTGTTGCCTACCCAACATTCCTACATACAGTGCCGGACAAATGTATTGTCACAGAATGATTGTTGTGGTACAAGTACTTATAACTACTAAACAAATTGATTTGAAGAAAAAGCTTTTTGACATATTCATTTATTATCTATTCTAGTTTTATTACATAGTAGAAGCAATAATATAAATACATTGATTCACCGAGTTTTATCTTTATTTATCGTAATTCAAGTTTACTACAATTTTGTATGGTATTGTGATAGTGTTTTGTATTTCTATACTACCCGCAGTAGCGAAAAGGTCGAGTAAGCAATGCGCGGGACCAAGAGTCGCCTGTTATCTATGCTTTGTTTCTTTCCTACATATGATTAATAGTTTAGTTTGGTATGCTGTTTCTCAAGAGAAGAAGCAATGATCGAAGAATAATGTAAATCAATATGCAATACTGAAGTAAAAAGTGCAGAATCTGTTGATTATGGATTAATAGATACGTCGTGTTTTTTCATACGTTTTTAACTTACACGAAACTTGATTTCAAAATCGTTTTCACGTTAAGGTATAAACGATATTTCGCATTGCATTAATTTTAACATCACCGTTGCAACAGAAACTTGGATGATGGATCTATATTCGATATTTCGATGAATGTTTGCTTCATTTTCAACTTTCTATAAAATCTTGATTGTATATTTATTGTAGAATACATTTATGTCACCTCTCTTCATAATAAATTTTTTATATCTTAAAAAGATAGAGTTTCCAGATATCTGGAATTTGTGCTAGTGTACGTGAGAAAATCAATTTAAAATAGATTTATTGACATCTATGGTTATAAGGAAAAATTTAAACTCTTAGAAAAATCTAGTTTATTCGTTAATTAGGTTGAAAAATGTACACGATTTATGTGTATATAAGAGAACAAGAGAAACGAAGAACCAGCTAAAGAAAAGTTATACAGTTTATGTGAATACGAATTAAACGAATCGATGATCAAAATTTAAAATGGCAATTCACGAAAATGAAAATTTGTGATGTTGAAAAGGAAAATATCTTTTCTTATAACTATCGATATATCTATTTTGATTCATAAAATGGTTTATTATCGTTTTACGTAATAACTATAATTTCGTATTATCAGTGCGATAGTATCATGAACATTTTTAACGATTTAAATAACAATCATCGATGTCGCGTCGCGATCGAAATTCTCGTATTTCCGACGGGTTGTAAGGCCGTCTCGCGACTACGACACGTGTTGCCCGCCAAATTAATATTGGTCAACTGTTTAAGTTGCACGAGCGGAAAAGAGTCGTGTCTACGACGGTCGACGTTTCGAAAAGAACGTGGCGTGTTGTCGATCGGCTGGATGG